CTGAGCCCGCCTTGCTCCACCTTCAGTAGAGCTCCCTGGCGCAACAAGCGTGGGCCACGACCACTTCGATCACACGACTACCCCGACGGACTGCCTGGGCTCCGCTGGACCGAGCGTCGCAAGGTCCGACTTGGCAGCAATTTGGCGGATTTCTCCATGCAGGCAGCAAAGGCTACTCTGGACTTGGGGCGGGCCTACTTGCTTTTGGAACAACCAGAGGACTTGGGGGCCGTAGCGCCTGGATCGCGCCCTTCCTCCATGTGGGCACGACCTTCTTTCGGGGCCATTGCCGGGCATCGCAACGCGAGCCATCTTGCCTTTCATCAGGCCGACTTCGGAACGAGCTACCCCAAGCCTACACGTCTCTTGCTTCGCACCGAGCAGCCGCTGCTTCCTTTCATGCAAACTGGGCTTCCTGCCTTTGACGACGCTGGCTACTATCGGGGTCCCTTGCAGCGGCATGCTACGGCCACTCGGATGCAGCCGCGCTCTGGCGTTCCGTTTGCCACGACAGGCACGGAGCAGTGGCCTTCGGACTTCTGCAAATGGGTAGCACGGTGCATCCTCTCGGACTTTGTGGCCTCGAGCTCCTCTACTGGCGCGGGGGAGATCCAGGATTTGGAGCCCGAGTCCACGGACGAGGATGGCGAGCTGGAGAAAATCTTCCGCTTCGAGCCACCCACAAACCTTGTGGGGGGCCCTGGTGCAACGAAGGCTGATGAGATCGCCCTCGCGTGTCTGAAGCGGGGGGTTGCTACCGAGAGGGATCTGCTGCAACTTTCAGAGGAGCTTCCTGACGAGACCCGCATCAGGGAGGCCGCGGAGGACATAGAGGGCCAGCGGTCCTTTACCACTGGGGCTTTCGTTCATGGTGACACTGTAGGCCTGAGGAGAAACTTACGAGAGTACCGATGGGCAAGCGAGCTTTTGGCGAGGATGCTAGCAGCGGCCTTTCCAGGCAGAGTTTTCTCTTCGGTGGCTCTCTTCAAGGACCTCAGACAGCCTCTTCACCGGGACAGCACAAACGGACCCCTTGAAAATCTGCTACTCGCTTGCTCCACCTTCAAAGAAGGAGGCTTGTGGCTTCAGACGGATGGGGGCGCAGTCATGCGCCAGATCTCGGGCAAAGATGTGAAGGGGGAGATCTTGGAGTGGAAGGAAGGCAAGATCATCTTCAATCCTCACCGTTGGCACGCTACGGAGGCCTGGGAGGGGACGCGTCTTGTCCTGGCTGGGTACACGATTGCAGGACTGGGGGGCTTGAGCCGCAGCGACAAAGGGGTACTAGTGGAACGCGGCTTCATCTTGGATCCTACGGTGGAACGCCCACAGCCGGGGAGACTTGTGGAACCTGAGGTGGACCCGACTTGGCCCCCGGTCCGAGGAGGGGACGGCCCGGCTAGGACATGCAGGGAACCATGGGGCAGCCGGCCGTTCCACGATGGGGCAGGACTCTGCTCTCCTGGCAGGTGGGATCCCTCCAAGCGGAAGTACTGCATGGCGCCTGGATGGGAGGAGCTCCGCACCAAGCTGGAGGAGATACTTGTCGAGCACGCCGGGGGTGACCAGAAACTGGACAGGATCCCTTTCGAGATGGCGGCGAAGGGCGAGGCTGGATGTGGATTAGTGGCCGATCCGGCACTCCACGAGAAGATGGTTGCGGCGATGATTGGACACCTCCGGACGAAGTCCTCGGAGACCGGGGACCTGGATGCCGTTGACCCGGGGCAACCCTTCAGACTCAGGCTCATCTCGGCCCTGCTTCGAGATGCTTCGGATCCTGACTGGAAGGTCTTCTTGGAGGCAATCGAGGGACTCCCGGTAGGGGTCAAACATGCCCTGCCGCGGTCTCGGGAGATCTTTGAGCCGCAGGTGAAATGGAAGCTGGAGATGGGGCCCCTGGACGTCGCCCAGTCTTGGAAGGCGAACTACGAATCGGCCGAGGAAAATCTTGACTTCGTGAGAGAGCACTTCGAAACCGAGGTCGCGGAGGGCAAGATGGGAGAGGCCGACTTCTGGGCCAAGTACGGGGACGAGGCGGCGGTCTCGGCCATCGCGGTGATAGTCGAGGAGGGGCCGCCAGTCAAGAAGAGGGTGGTGCATGATGCCTCACATGACGTTCTTCTGAACCACAGAATACGCTGCTTGGACAAGGTGCGATCGCCAGGGGCACGAGAGAAAAGATTTCTTCTCCGCCACCTTCGGGAGGAACGTCTTGCGCCCATGGCGGTCACCGGGGACATCTCGAAGGCGCACAGGAGATACCGACATCGTCGGGACGAGTGGGGGTACTTGGGCTGCAAAGCTTCTTCTCGGGACGACTTCGTCTACATCAACTGCGTGGGCACCTTTGGCCTGGCGTGCGCGGGCTATTGGTGGGCGAGGATCTCGGGGGGATCGGTCAGACTGGTCCATCACTTGACCGGAAGAAGGGCACTCGAGTTGCTGCTGTACGCCGATGACGTGGAGATCATCGGAGGGGATCGGAGAGGCAGGAGAGGCATCGTCCTCTCGTACGCGATCCTGGCATGCCTTGGCTTCCCCTTCAAGTGGTCTAAGACTAAAGGGGGGCTGAACGTCCAGTGGGTGGGCTACGAGACCGCCTACGGGACCTTCAAGCTGGGCATCTCTGAGAGGCGGGCGGCCTGGCTTGCCGAGTGGACTGCGAGAATCTCCGCGGAAGGGAAGGTCACGTGGGATGACTTTGCATGTGGATTGGGGCGACTGGGATTTGGTGCGAATGCCTTATCTTGGGAACGCCCCTTCCTGGGTCCTCTCTACGCTTGGTCAGCGGCCACTCGCGGACGGCGGGGCGCCCTTCAGCTGCCCGTGATGCTGAGGTCCATCCTGGGATGGATGTCGGGTCGGTTCAGCTCTGGAGATCGGCTTCAATCCTCTGTGGAGATTCCGATGGGGCCAAAGGCGGGCGGGCTGAGCTTCTTTTCTGACGCGAAGGCTGAGGAGGGGAGCGCTTGGGTTGGCGGCTACCTTTGGGATGGCCACTCGGCCCTGCAGTGGTACGCACTGGAGGTCCTTGAATCCTGGGCTCCATGGGCTTTCATTAAGAAGGATTTGAAGCGCACCATCGCGAGCCTCGAACTTCTTGGAACGCTCATCTGCGTGAAGCTTTGGGGCGATAGGATGAAGCAGCATGGGAAAGGCCAGGGCCACCTTACGGGGGGTACAGACAACCAGGGGAATTCTTACGCGGTTTCCAAGCTGATGTCCACGCGATTCCCGCTGCCTCTCTTGTTGATGGAGCTCTCGGAGACTTTGAGGCGGGGAAATCAGGTGCTGGACTTGAGCTGGGTCCCACGTGAGAAGAACCAGTGGGCCGATGACTTGACGAACCAGAAGTATGATCGCTTCATCCCGGAGAGGAGATTGCTCATTGACGGGGCCCAGATCGATTGGATCATATTGGGCGATCTCTTGAGGGATGCTTCGGCCTTTCATGGGGACTTGATTCAGGCCAAGGCCGCGAAGAGAAGCAGGGAAACGGATCGGGATGCGCGGGGCAGAAAGAAGGCCCGCACCAAATGGTGAGTATCCCATTCGGCTACGGCGTTGCATGGGTGATCGGCACATCTCTTGACTGAGAAACCTGGTGGGCCGTCTTTCGCCAAAGGCGCTGCGGCATGATGTTCTCGAGATGTGGCTTTCGCCGAATGGGAATTCCGATCCATCTATGGGCAAAACATCGGCGCGCTTCTTTCTGCAGTCATGTCAGTTGCCACATGTCATGTCAATGCCACATGTGTGAGTTTTTGAGCTGTCTGCGATTTCATATGAAATACATTTCGGATTGTTTCAATATACCCAAATTTTATACCTCAACCTGAGGATTCCTCGAATCCTGGTTTCCCCGGCGGCTTCACTCCGGGTGGTGTACAGGGGTGGTTGGTGGGATGGATTTGG